TTATTCAGCCATAAAAAGGAATGAAATTTTGCCATGTGCGACAACATGGATGGACCTTGATGGCATTATGCTAAGTGAAGTGAGTCAGACAGAGAAAGACAAGTATCATATGATCTCACTTGTATGTGGAATCTAAAAAAACCAAGCACATAGATACAGAGAACAGATTGGTGATTGCTGGGGAGTTCTGAGGGGGTGGGTGAAACGGGTGAAGGGAATCAAAAGGTACAAACTTCCAGTTATGAAATAAATAAATCATGGGGATGTAAGGCACAGCACGGCAACTATAGTTAATAATACTGTAATGCATATTTGAAAGTTGCTAAGAGAGTAGATCTTAAAAGTTCTCATCACAAGAAAAAAAAATTCTGAAACTATGTATGGGGATGGATGATAACTAGACTTAGTGTGGTGATCATTTTGCAATATATACAAATATTGAATCATTATGTTGTACACCTGAAACTAATATAATGTTGTATGTGAATTATACCTCAATAAAAAAAAGGAAGAAAATCACCCGTAATACCAAGAGTTAGGGAAACCACAATCTGAATGAGAAAAAACAATCAACTGATGCCAATGTTGAGATGAATCAGATGTTGGGATTATCTGACAAAGATTTTCAAGCAGTCACTATAAAAATGCTCCAATAAGTAATTATGAATTCTCTTGAAACAAATGAAAAAATAGAAAACCTCCGCACAGAAATAGAAGTTATACAAAAGAACCAAATGGGAATGATAGAACTTAAAAATACAATAACCCAAATAAAAATCATATACATAATACCATGAAAAAATCATGCAGGTATGATAAAATAAACATATCAAAGCCAAGAGCAATACACTTAAGAGTCATTAAGTGTTTACTATGCGCCAGATGCTGTTTTAAGCATTTTCTTTCTATTAATTCATTTAATCTTCACAACAGCCCTATGAAGTAAATATTATTATCCATGTTAATGGATGAGGAAATTGAGACACAGAGAGGTTGAGTGACTTGCCTAAGATCACACAGCTCACACAGTGGTGGAGCCAGGCACTCTGTTCCAGAGGCTCTGCTCTTATCCACATGCAGTATTGCACAGTATTATGCTGCCTCTTTGACAGAATTAAATTTATTTCAGTGAGAAATCTCAATGGGCCATCTCTGCCAGGGCTGCTGCAGAAGCCTGCTAATCCATCTCTCTGCCTCCTCTCCCATGTGCTCGTACAGTCCAGTCTCAGCATAGTCGCCAGGAGGACCTCCATTGAAAATGCAAATCAGATTGCTTCATTCCCCAGACTAAGACTCTCCAGCGGCTCCCCATCACACTCAGAATAACATCCCGCCTCCTTCCCCAGACTTTCAGGTCTCTGCCCGTGTTTTCACATTCCTCTCCTCCCACTCTCTTGCTCACTCAACAACCTCTACCCTCAGACTTTCTTACTATTCTTTGAACTCATCCTTGCCTCAGGCCCTTTGCACTTGCACTTGCTCTTTCCTCTGCCTAGAATGCTTGATCCCCAGATCTTCGCTTGCCCGGCTCTTTTTTTCACATTTCTACTCAAAAGTCGTCATCTCAGGGAGGCCTTCCCATGACTCCATTTTATTGACTTCAGATCAATCTCACTATTCTTCCTTTTTTATTGTCTTTCTCCCCCACTAAAACTGACAAGAGGGGAGGCCTTGTTTATTTTGTTACTGCTTCATCACCAGTAGCTAGGATAGGGCCTGACTATGATAGGAACTCAAATATTTGTTGAATGAACAAATAAATGAATGGATGAGTTATACAGTTTTCATTACCTGAAAACTAGAGAAATGAAGTTTTTGTTCTGCGACCTAATTTTTAAGAGGGATTTGTCATACAAGTCCTTCTATAAAAGACACCATATAATAAAATAGAAGACATTTTCATCAGTGTATCCCATAGATTATTAACAACAGTCTACCATTTATTACATTTCTGTCTTCTAAGATGTATATTTAGTATTTCTTAAAATGTGGAATTGATAAGGAAGTTACCCTTAAATCTTAGTGCTTTTAAAAAAACCTGTCAATTGGCCACGACTTTAGAGCTGATCTGTTATCACATATGCGTTCAGCACAGAGGACATGAGAGGCACCTGCTGCTGGGTTTATCTCAGGAACAACCAATGTCACCCTGTCCTTATCTTTGTCCCCTGACAGCCCTCCTCGTCCTCGCTGAAGAAAGCCTATTTGTTTCCCCACAAAGACGAGTTCCAGCCCCTCTCTCTGTGACATGGACCCTGAGACCTCACACACTAATGGCCCCTTGCCGCTGCCGGGTGCCAGCATGTCGGTTATTCTGCGTGTGCAGGGCTCTCCAGACTGTCTGCGGGTGGCTGACGGCTGTTGCTCTGGGCTAACAGAGATGCAGGGTCCAGGCCCAAGCTCTCGGGAGTGTGCGGGTCAGCGAGCGAGAGGATCCACCTGCACAGGAGAAGTTCTAACCGCAGCTGAAATAAATCGCTCACCCTATCTACTCCTTTCCCTGACTTCTCTATTTTTGTTGATGTCATTTTTCCATCTTTGTGACTAAGGGATGAATAAGAGATTTAAGAGGAAGAACTGGTTGGAAGGGGAACAGAATGACTTTATTTGAGGTTGAGTTTGAGGTTTCGGTGGGACAGGCTGGGCTAAGTCATCCTGCTCCCCTCTGCTGACGCTGACTCAACCACCTGAAGACCCCACCTCCAGAGGTCTTTCAGATGTGCCTCCCTTTGGTTCAGGTGCTCATCTGAAGGACTGCGGTAGCATCAGAACCATCTCCGGGCCGTCTCTCCCTCCCAACCTAGTCCCCTTAAATACCACCTCTGAGTTTTCAGTTCTCCAATAGCTGTTTCGTTGCCTATTCTGTGCTTCTAGGCAACACGGGGAGTAGAAACAAGCAAAGCTCCGCGGTTCCTGCCTTTGTGGAGGTTCCAATGACGACAGCACCTATTTCTTGGAGGAAGTCTCCCAAGGCTTACAGACACCTCCGCCCCCCAGCCCCGTATTCAAGGCCCGCTGAACTCGCCTTCCAGGTTCATTCTCTACTTCAGCTGCACACACTCCCACAGCAGGAAGCCCCTGCCGTCACATAAGGCTCATATTCCTCCCTAAGCCTGGACGTCCTCTGCTCTCCTGCCTCCCTCTCCCACTGCACCCTCTCCACCTGTCAAAATTCAAATCTGTCTTTCACAGCTTAGCTCAAGGCACCATTCTCTCATAGGCCCTTCACAATCCCCTGCCCAAGACATGTGCGTTCCATATCTGAGCTCTCACGGGACGTTTTGTACACTCTGACACCCATCACGTTACACTTGGCATCAAGTTAAATGTATATCTCCCCTACTAAGCTATCGGAGGGAAAGGGCCATGTCTTATCTATATTGGCAGCTTCTCATCGCCCCACCTTGGCGGCTGCCCTACACACAGGGTACCTTATACAAACGGTGACCATATAATTTGTTATACTTTATTGTCCAAACTAGAACACTTTTGAGAGTGAAAGAGGCTCTCTTAAGCAGTATGCTGGGCTACAAGCAAAACTAAAATTGTCCTTGGCTACTTGGACACATGGGTGTCTATTTATGCCAATTGAAGGGTCATTGAACATTTAGTGAATTAAGCAGAAATGCTGACTGTGTAGACAGCCAGTGAGCAGCAGGAAAGAGTGGAGGAAGGAGCCTCGATTAGAGCTGGTATAGCTGGGACAGTTCCACTGAGCAGGCAGTCCCGAGGTATGTCTGGAGGGAAAGGACAGGATTCACGAAGGTCCAATTAGACAGAGAAAAGAAGCAATGACGTCAGGGAAGGTTAGGATGATGGGAGCAAAGACAGAACTGCATTTGATATATTCAGAGAGAAGTGAGTATGGCTGAAATTGATGGTTTATAGTGGGGAGGCACAGGTGACATGGTTGGAAAGGGATGTAGGGAGGAACTGGAGTGCTAACCCCAGTCTTGAGGGGTAGTCTTTATCCAGGAGGTAAGAGCAAGCACCTGAGTGTTTCTGAGCAGGAAAGAGACAAAGAAAATGCAGAATGTTAGGGAGATAGTCTCATGGCTGTGTTTAGAGAGGGGTGAGGCTAAGGAGAGTGAGGTGACATGGGATCCATGGAAATAATCTCAATGTAAGATGACAAGGGCTTAAAGGAAATATCGGTAATGGAAAAGAAGGAGTTAGGAGAACTGAAAAGGAAAAATTAACAGGACTTTGGGACCCGAGGGAGTCGGGGATGGCTTTGGGGTGACACTTTGTACAGATTCTATTGGTACCATAGATTGAAATAAAGAAGTCAAGTGGCAGGGATGATTTGGGGGGGAAATCTAAAATTATAAATCTAGATTTCTACAGACTAAGTGTGAGGCATCAGTGGGTCATCTAAACGGCAATGTCCAGTAGATAGCCAAAGAGGAATGCCTAGGATGTGAGAGAGACAAGGACCAGCAAAAATGATTTAGGAGGAGAAGTCAAGCATCCACGAGGTGAGAGATTAAAAAGGATCAGGTATCTTGGGGCCAAATGGTAGGAAGAGGACCATTGATTACCAAGGGTTGGATCTTGGAAATGCCTGTACTTAATGGGGAGGGGAGAGACAAGGAGACCGCGAAGGGGTCACTCTGGGGAAGAAATTGGATGATGCAAAGTCCTGAGGGCTGAGAGAAATTTCAAGAAAGAAGTGGCCAATTCTGTCAAATTTCGCAGAGAATTTGAGAAGAATGAAGATTCACTCAATGAAAAACGGCTTTGGTAATTGAGATAATAATTAAAATGAAAAGTATCCAAGGAAATGAACCGGAAACGCACTTCTCTGGCCAATAACGTTGCCGGAGGCTGATTACTGCCCATGTCAAAGGCGTGGTGATGTGATGTGTATGTTTCCCTCCTTAAGAAAGGTTAATGGCAGAACAGCCAAAAAGCCAGTTAGATTCAACTAAATTATGAATGGTTCTAATATTTATCAGGCTGTGCCCTATGACCAAAATACCCAAGTGATAGATACTAACCTGTGATACCTTTTTTCACCCAGAAGGTAGCAATACTGGGCATAGAAGAAAGAACTTTTCTTGATACAGATTCCATTATAATAATACCTGAAAAATAAAAGTTGTCTTAAAGATTATGTCAAATCACTGACATGCTTTATCGAAGACACAGAACAGACTAGCTAATGAAGATGAAGTTCTTCTCTGAGTTTTATCATTGACTCCGTTTATTAGGAAAAGCTAATCAGTCATTCAGCCTGAGCAAGCTCTGTTAGGCGAACAACTTCATATTATTTTATACACATCAGCTTTGAAACGGGCTCATGAATGTCCTTCTCTGCTTTCCCACATGACACTCTAACCTTAGAGAGATGCCACAGGGAAAGCCTCCTGCTGCTGCTGCCGTTAATCTTTTTCAAGTGAAGCGGAGCAACGCCAAAGTTCCTTCTACTGAGAACTGGACCCAGGTTCTCAGAAACCCATTGCGGAAGCTGGTCCCTTCTCTGCCGCCCAGGCCCCTCCTCTGCTGAGCTCAGGAAACTGCAGCAGTTTGGCCATGCTCAGAGCAGCAGACAAAATTTTTGCAAATTAATTATCGACCAGTGTTTAGTTTGGCAAACACTTCCACGTCGGCAATTTCTTCATGAGTGGCAGGCCCCTGTCCTAATTTACCTTTCATCCCTTCTCACTGATTTCTCCTAACTTTTCTTGATTTATTTAAAGCAAGCAACAAATAACAATAATAATTGAGTGACAATTACGACACAATGCACCCGATAACTCTGGAATTTCCTTTTGCATTAAAAATATAGGCTGGGTAACTAATCTCCTGAATATAATTCAAATATACTAACTAGATGAATACTTAGAAATTTTAGTTCAAAGAGTAATTAAAACAATTCTATTATTCTATGTGTGTAATTATTTAAATATTTCAACAATTAGACATTTACATGTCTAAACATTTAAAGTGTTGAAGGAAAAAATGTATCGTGACTTTTGTATTTTAACAAAACCCCTAAGCAAACAGAAACTAACATTTGGTTCTAGCATCACCTGAATTATTTCAGGCACTACGATTTCATTTGTATTATGGTAACTCCTTGGTAAGAGTTGATATTTATAGTTTGGTTAGTTTTGCTTTTTTTTTGTCACCCATCTTGTGATTTTTCAAAATGTTTGTTTTTAATATTCAAAATAAAACAAAAATGCTAAACCTACCTGGCACTTCCTCTCGTGCCTAGCCTCCGGGTGCCAAGATCAGGAAAAACCAAGCGTACAAGCTAAAAGAATAAGCCAGATTTAAAGTTGCAATTCAGAAATTCAGAAATAAAACTTCCAATTTCTTCTCTTACAATGTTTAAATTCTCTGTCCTCTTTTCCGATTATAAAGAAAATATATGTAAATGAAATTTGGAAAAATCAGACAACTATAGAGAAGAAAACACCCCACTCAGAGGAAACTGCCCTTTAAACCTCCGTGGGGTTCCTTCAAGTCTTTTCTTCAAAGCCTCAATATGTGTGTTTTTCAATGTACATATAAATAATTGGCATCACATGATTAGCATATCTGTAGTTTTGCTTTCTAGTTTCTCCTCTCCATGTTGTGCCATAAACATTTCCTCTTGTCATTAAGAATTCTCTGAAAGCAGGGGATTTTTAACAGGTACATAATAGACCGTCATGTAAGTGTGTCATAATTTTACTGTTTTCCTCTTTTTCTAATAGGATAGTCATTTTCACTTTTTATTATTCATTTGTTTACCTAATTTTTCATTTTAAAGGTTTTGTTAGCAAACACTATTAAAATATTGAATAACATAGCTACGTCTGATTCACCTTCTCATTTCCCAGTTTTCTGTCTGATGTATGTTTTACTAGATACCATTGATGTTACGTTTATGACCAATTACATTAAAATAAATAGAAGTCTGTTCCAGTTTCTCAATTAGAAGAGGTCCATGACATGCATGGTATCCAAGTTCACGTCTGTTGAAAGTGAAAAGTCCTGGAGCCAGGTGAAATACAAAAGTACAGAACATGGGTGGCCTGGTGTTCCGAGCCATGAAGTAATGATTTCTGCTATTTTTCTACAATCCCCTCCATAATCATTCAGCCCCCACTTCTGCCTGGTTTCCTGTTGCATCCCTCTTTCTTTTTTTCTTAGCTTCCAAGCCACAAGATTTGACAGTGTTGTGAAACCTGTCTCTTGTCTGGCTCCAGGCCCTACCTCTTCCTACAGGAAGCCCCCCAAGCCTGGGTGTGGGGGAGGCAAAATGAAGGAACAGGGGAGACAAGTCTTGCAAAATTAAACGTCGCGGTCATGGGGCCAAACTGAGAGGTTTCTTCAGGGAAGGACAACCAAAATGTACAGATAAGAAATAAATGACAAGACATAAAAGAAAGAAATCAGCGACGTCTAAATGGAGAATTAGAAGTCAGAAATTCCTACTTTCAACAACAGATTCTGGACACTTTCATCTCCTCTCACTTAAGAAAATCACTTAAAACCGTCCTTATATGTCTGGTTGTCAAATAGTAGGTACCTAAAGGAATTATTATAAAGTATGCAGCAGGCTCAGATCCAAGGCCCTGGGAAATAATCTGGTGTTCTGGAGGGAGAAGCAGAAATAAATTGCCAGTTGTCTGGCAGCATAATAATCTGCTCATTTTATTTGATTGAGTAATTCCAACCCCAGTCTATCCTGTGATTTCCACCAAAGGGAACGGGAGACGAGAGTCAGCCTGGCTTCCGAAGTGTGAAGCCGTGCAGTAGGAACTTTCCAGCCCCTTTTACCTCCCCCTCTCCCAGAGGGGTCAAACCAACACCCAGCAAGGTGTGGGAAGGAGAGAGAGGGAGGGAAGAAGGAGGGAGCCCCTATACCGGTTCTCTGTTGGCAAGAAACTATGCTGGAGGAGGTGGGGAAAAGATTCCACTTTAAACCTGGTTCAGAGTTTTGATAGTATATGGGACTGGACATTCCAAGCATCAGACAGTAGTCGGTAAATTAGAGTGACAACAGGGCTCTGTATCACCCAAGGGTTTCTAGACAGATCATGCTGCCCTGCTCAAAGTTCATTCAGGAGCAGAGGAACAAACACCCACGAGCAGGTCCAAAGGGACATAGGAAACAAACACAAAGTCACTGTGTGATTACCTCCCCCAGCTCCTGCTGGTCACACTTGTCTGCACGTGTGTGCGAGCATGCAAATGAACCACAGACAAGTGGCTACATCTCTGGACACTGAGGCTATAGCTGGTATTTATTTTCTTCTTTTTATATACTTTTCTCTAATTCCAACATTTTCTATAAAGGGAATGATTACTTTTATGATCAGAAAAACCTCAGTAAATGTTATTTTGAAACAGGAAATCAGTGGTACGGAAATTCCCTAACCCACGTAAGATGTCGCTTGCATGAGGAATGAGCATTGCCCACCGCGTGCCCAGGACTGCCACAAAGAGCAAGAAATATCAACATCTGCACAGGAACTTGGTGTGGAATCTGGAGTCGACTCCGTTCCCAGGGGACGAGGGAGGAAATGAGAATTGGGTATTTTGTTGTTTCTCTTGTAAACATGCTTTGGGATCATATCCTTTTCCCCTTCCTCTCTCTTCTCCATTTAGTCACCAATTCGGCAGCACGGGGTCCCTTCACTGAACTGGCCCATTCTTCAGGCAAATTCCCAACAAGAACTGAAACAAGCATCTTAGCATCTGGGGGAACGGATTCCAAGGGAAGTATTAAGGCAAAAATGCTACATAAATGTCCATTTCACACACTGGAGTCTCTTTTTAACTTTTTCTTTGGAGTACTCTGCAGTGGAACGGCCCTAGAGGTAGAACAACTTATAAGAAAATCTAAAAAACGATTTTGAAAAAGAGTCTGATTTCTTAGAAAAGGAAGCAGAGATCACACAGAGCCAGAACACGTCAAGCTAAAGTCACCCCACTTCCATCTGATAAGGCTGCCAGACAGGTAGATAAGGATGACGCCGGAATGCCAGGATCGCCAGAACTCAGCCAAGCCAGGGAGGAAGCGTCCTCATATGCTGAGCCATGAAATGGCAAAGTGTGGGCTAAATGATAAGATAGCCGGGGAATTCCTGGCTGGTGGGAAAACCTTACTCAGAGACACCTAGTGAGCTCCAGAGCCTACCTGATGCCCTGTATGTGCTCATATTACTTTTCATTCCTTGAATGATAAGATAAGATATATGCTTTTCAAACACGTGAGCTTCACCAGGTTGAGAAGACCGGATGACCTACCTAAGATTCAAGAAGATACGGATAAATAGAACTGCAGGTCTAAACTGAGGCTGAAATAGAATAGGAATGAGGGAATAGCCACTCTTGGGTTCAAATTGTTTATCTGCATAATGAAAAGAATCTGATAACAATGACAACAATATTTCGTATTTACATGGAGTATTTCACAGTTTACAAAGCAGTTTTGGGAGGCTTAACTTAATTTCAATTCATGCGAAAAAATACTTCAGTGTTATTTTTGTTGACCACAAGTTTAAAATGAAACCAACAGAGTGACATGGAAGGATAAAAGCCAATAATAGCCAAAAATAACGAAAAGCAAGAGCCCTGGTCCTCTGAGTACTCCTGAGGCAGTGGGTTGTACCTTTGGGACCTCCTGCCTTTTAAGAGGAACATCAATAAATTGAAGTCATAATGAAACAGACGGGCAGGAAGGTAAAAATTTGGGAGCCAGGAGTATTCAGAATAGAAAAGGGAAGACAGGAAATGCAAACAATTGTTTTAAATATTTGAGCAGCTGACATATTAGAAGTTTCTACTACATATTTTATAATCATCAAAAGTGCACAACTTCCACCAATGACCGTAAGTTTCAGGGATGAAGATTTTGGCTAGAGAAATGGATCTAAAAATGTCAATGTTACGGAAACAACATTGGAATCCACAGAATTGCTGGAGGCAGGGCAACTTGGAGCAGTTTGGGCCCATCTCCAGACATCAGTCACACACCTTCTCAGCCTACAAGCTCACACCTGGACATACACACCCAAGAGAACATCTTCACGTGCACAGTAGGAGACACGCACATTAATGTTCACAACAACAAAATCTGGAAATGACCCAAATGCTTATCAGTGGGAGAGTTGATGAGTAAACTGTGAAATATTACACAACAATGAAATGAATTTAGATGAATTGTGATATAATATTAAGTGGAAAAAATCCCAAAAGATGACAACATGATGCTCCTTTTTATAAAGTAAGCCACAAAAATAAAAAATATGCTTTTTAGAAATACATATATGAAATAAGTCAAACAGAGAAAACCAAACACCCTATGGTCTCACTTATATGTGGAATCTAAAAAAACAAAACAAAAGAACAAAAAAACCCAAACTCACAGATACAGAGAATAGCTTGGTGGTTGCCAATGGTGGGGGGTGGGCAAAATGGGTGAAGGTAATCAAAAGATTAAAAAAAAAAAAAAGAAATACATACAAATGCACTAAAACTCTTTTTAAAAAGGCAAGAAAATGATGAACAGGTTGATGGTTCCCACCAGTGGGGAAGGCAGGGAGATGGGAGGTGGGGAACCGACAATGTGGTTCATTTGGGGTGGTGGGTTCACAGATATTTATCACAAACCAATTCAGTTCTGTCTACCTGCAGACCACTGAAAAGCGGGAGGAGGAGGGAACGGGGGAAGGGGGAAGGAGGGACGGGCGGAAGAGATTGAATTGGCAGTTTTGTGGCCCAGTGAGCAAGCTCCTTGTCACCCACGTCATTTCAGCCCAAGCCAAGTGGCCGCCCAAAGCTGTAAGGGACGTGGTCGTGCAGGTCGTGAGCTGCACCAAGGCCCCTGATGAGGAGTCGAGTGGGTGTTCATCAGCCTGTGCTCTGCTTGCCAAGCCACAGATCCTGGGGTGGGACCGTGTTTGCCCAGAGGAAGGGCAGCTTCCTCTCTACAGACACGTGCCGCCCCCACCCAGATCTAAGCTCTGTGGCTGTCTGCCCGGAGAGGGCATTTTGTGCTCATGAAAAGCTCCCAGCAAGAGGTGCTTTCAAAGGAATCTTGCACTGGGTGTGGAGCTGGACCAGGTGTCCTCCAAGGTCTCTTTGAACTCAAGAATATTTCTGAGGGAATAACAAGTGGAAAGAGGTCTGACCCACAATTCAGGAGACTGGATTTGCCACTCACACATGGCATCTAGCTGGGGGACCCTCGACCTTAATCACTCCTGGTTTGCTTTCTTGATTTCTCATGCTACCTGCTTCCGCTAATGGCTGCGACACAAGACAAAGCATTAGAGACACTGTTTCCTCCCCACCTACACATCCTCTCTTGCCCTCAAACTGTTCCAGTGTCAGGCACTGGGGCACAAGGTCGGTACAGCATCACGGGAGGCACCACACAAGCAACCGTACTGGGAAATCAGGAAGCCAGGGGAGGAAGCAGTCTTCTGGGAAGGGGCATGGAACAGGCCAGTGGAGAGAAGCAGAGTCCCAGAGCTTCAAGGACACATGAGACAGAGAGAGACAGAGAGAGAGAAGATGCCTGGTGACTTAGAGTCTAGTCGTGGGCTGTCCGAGATGGGAACCGCCAGCCACTCGTGGCTACTGAGCACTTGAAATGTGGCTAGTTGGAATTGAGACGGGCTGCACATGCAAAATGCACACCGGATTTTAGAGATTTAGCATGAAGAAAAGAACGAAAAAAATAACTCAATGATTTTTTAATATTGATTCTCAATGATTTAATATTGAAATGATAATATTTTGAATATTCTGGAATTTAAAAATTATAAAATATTAGTTTCACCTTTTGAAAACTTTAAAAATGAGTATAGTAGCATATTTAAAATTATATCTATGGCTCCCATTGCATTTCTATTGGGCAGCACTGGACTAGATTCTAAGAGGCCAAGTCAAACTTCTTTCAACTGGATTAGATGAGATATCCCTATTCCTTTAAAAAGTCTCCTTTTAACCTGTTTTGAGTGGGTGTCTGTCTATTCTTGAAAACCAGATGGAAAAGTGCCTTGAAAATAAATGCAATGCACTATATGATTGAAAGTTATTATTGTTACTTTAATAACAATTAAGTCCTTTGAATCTATTAATTCTTTCCATCAACAAACCCTACTGACTCTGTCTTCCAAATATACCCAGAACTTGACCCCTTCTCACCACATCCACGGCTACATCCCTGTCTGCTCCCTGCACACCCAGGCTCCTCTCACCTCCCTGCTTTGACCTCCAGGTCAAATCTCTGATCTGCTTCCTCTAGCCATTGCAGCCTCCTTGGTGCTTGGGCTCCCTCCTGCCTCAGGACCTTTGCACTGGCTCTTTCTGCACTGCTCTTTGCTCATATATCACATACTCACTGCCTCATCTCTTGGAAGTCTGGACTCAACTGTTACTTCTGAGGGAGGCCTTCTCTAAAATTACAACTCTTCCCCTAACACACATACGCACATACACACACACACAGAGTCCTTATCTCCTTCTGCTCTATATTTCCCCTTAGCATTTATACAATCTAATATATTATATATTTTCTTATTTATCGGTATCCCCCAACTATAATATAATAAGTCCAATAAGGGCAGGAATTTGTCTCTGTATTGTTTATTGTTGTGTCCCCAGCATCTCACACGGTGCCTGACATATAGCAGTTGCTCAATAAACATTTGTTGACTGTAGAGGGTCTCAAATAGACTATCCTTGTGCTAGCGTTTGCTGTATATTGTATGGTCTAAACAAAGATTCTGACAGAGCTCTTAACTTCCGGAGGAAACCTTTACGAGCCAATGAGTGCTCTACATGCAACCGTATTGTGGGAAACATCACTTGTCTGACACCACAAAGTGGCTCTTTGAGCTTGTGTGCTGCTGGGCTTTGGCATTTCTATGCAGGAATGGTGGCCCCGCACACCCGGCTGAGTATTTGGAGTATCTGGAGCGGCCACAGTTGCATTCTCTTGGGTGTCACCCCATTCCTCACCTTTCCTGGCCCTTCACTATGAGGTGTGGACAAAGGACAGAATAGCTCTTCGATGGAAATGAAGTATGTTAACCACCTGGTTGGCTTCCCAGTGTGAAGCTGATTATACCCATTGAGAACCTATTAGGCCTAAGTAAATTCTAACATTTCCTCATTAATGAACTCTGTACCTTTTTGAACTCAGTGACTACTGTATTTTTGTCTTCACAACCTACCTTCCCAAACGTGGCTGGGTTGACTCGGTTCTGAGCATTTTGCCCACAGGTCTCCATATAAATCTCATACATGAGGCAGCGCGGCACACTGTACCCTTCGCAGATACAGAAATTGTCAACCAACCTGGGGGACAGGAAGACAGGGAAGAGGCAACCGGCATCCGGGTCAGTGGTCAGACACAAGTGTGGGATCCAACTAAATGACATATGTTTAACTTATTGAGTGCAAAGGCTCAATCAGCATCAATGTTAGAATCAATCAGCATCAATAATGTACCTTTTGTTCGCAGCCCAGAGTTGAGTATATCGGTTGTACACCTTTAGATGATTGCCATGTGGGATTTTTTGTTTTTGTTTTGGTGTGTAGGCATGTTAAAAAGAAGCCCAAATTATTGGGCTCAGCAGACACTGTTTTATAAAGGTTGCAGCCAAGATCTCTATAACTAAAAAGTGGATAAGTATTTACTCGCTAAGACACAAAACAATACCCCCTCGCCAAGTTTATCACTCCTGCAGGTGACTGCTGGACCCAACATGCCTTCCCAGTTCCCCTGTGCCTGTGACCCAGGGCACGTGTGCACAGCTCTTCCTGACTCCTTTGCTTCCTGTTGGGTACAGAGCTCAGGGGCTCAACTGCCCAAATGCTCCTGGGCCCTGGGGCAGGTGGGGATCTCCTAGCAATGAACGAGGGGCTCTGCCTGTGGCTCACAGCCCACAGCTGGCCCCACAAGGACAGCCAGGTGCCTGTCCCAGCAACAGGTATGTGGGTGTCTGGAGGCAAGTAGTAAGGGTGACCAGGGTCAGAATGTGTGGTCCATAGCGACATCCAATCACAACCTTCCCTTTCCCAGTTGGGGATGGACTGTCAGATTTCGCCTCATTCTTTTAAAGAAATATACAAAGCAAGCCAGCATAATTTTTAAGCACAGAAGAATTTTTCAGCAGGGAATTTACCAACAATACATCTTCTCCTTTCTTATTGATAACATACAGCTTATTTTCTGGGATGAGGCATGCTGAGGCCTAAATTTACTTTCCTTGAGAGCTAAAGACCACAGTCCACAATCGTTAACCCCATTGGCTTCTTGGAAGAAGGAAAAATCAACACACAGGGGTGGAGGGTGGGGGTGGAATCTTGGTCCTGTATTGGTTTCCTAAGGTAACAAACTACCAAAGGCCGGTGGCTTAAAACAACAGAAATTTATTCTCTCACAGTTCTGGAAGCTGAAAGTCCAAAATTAAGGCGTTTGCAGGGTTGGTTCCTTCTGGAGCCTCTGAGGGAGAATCTACTCTAAGCTTTTCTCCTAGCTTCTGGCAATTGCCGGAAATCCTGACATTCCTTGGCTTGTACATGCATCACTCTGATATCTGCCTCCATCTTCCTTGGCCTTCTCTCTGAGCGTCCTCTCTCCTCTTCTTATGAGGACACCAGTGACTGGATTTAGGGCCCAGCCTAATCCAGTGTGATCTCTTCTTAACTAATTCCGTCTGCAAAGATCCTATTTCCAAGTAAGGTCACATTCTGAGGTTCCAGATGGACATGCATTTTGAAGGGACACCATGGATCCCGGTACAGGCCCAGGGAGGGGATTTGCTGAGTCTCCTAAAACACCCTGTGGGACTTGACATTTCAGATACTTCACAGTGACTTAATCACAGCTACCGCGGCACCCATTACTTGGCTCACGGTTGACTACGGGTGATGGCTACTGGTGGGGCGGGGAAGGGGCAAATTCACATTTCCGGGTGATATTTATATTTCTCTTCTTGAGACACCACCTGCTGATAGATGAAAAACCTATACCTGAAGTGTCACAGAAAGACGTTGGCTAAGTTTGGGGAGGTGCAGCAAACTGTGATAGACATTCAGTTCAAATGCACTTTTGTGTATTCTCATCTACTACCAATTTAGTCATGAAACGGTCTCCTTAAAAAAGAAATGTACAAACCACTCACACCTTAAAAGGAACGCGAGATTAAATTTTTGCGAATTGTTCTTCCTTATCACAGAAATTCACTTGCTCGAGGCCTCTGTGAACTGTCCTCCTATTTCAAAACGACGTGACTGAGTCTGACTGTTATCTGGGTGGACCAGTAAGGCCAAACAATATTATCAATAACAATAAAGGTCTGTGACAAGAGTCTTTTCTCTGCCACACACATAAAGAAAGGCCGCCTCCTGGGTTGAGCCCCAGGCTGCTTCTCAGGGACTTTGCTGCTTTGATCCTGGCTGCTCCAGGGGCTTCACCCCATTTCTGACCAGGTGCCCCTGGCTGTCTCCCCAAAGTTCCCAGCCGGGTCTCAGAGACTGGCCTGTGGTAGGCGGTCAGCAAACACTCACTGGACAAACGGAGAGCTGGAGAGTGGGCTGTGATTGTCCTGTAGGAGCGCCTCTGTTCCAGGACATGCCTTTACTTCACCGCAAACAGTAGCTGCCTCACCATGTCTTCTTCACATGCATCGGAAGTCACGATCGTGACCATCACCCAGGGCTTTGCGCCTCACAGACCCAGGTTTAAATTCTGACTCTGGATGCCTCATAGAGTTTTTGTGACTAGAGAGCGAGTACGTGATGTGCCAGGTACACCGACTGACACATGGAAGCTCTTATTGTTATCATTTTCACATCTGTCACCAAAATCTTGACTGGAAGCCAGAAAGACATCCATGTTGGCCGACTGGCAGCAGAGAGGCATCCACAGTAGGTGAGCTTGACTTTCAACTACATGTGGCTCCAAGGAGAGGCTGAATGGGGACTGTACAGGGAGCAGGGCTGGCCAGGACTCCTGGCAGGTCACGTCGGTCAAAGGTTTTACACTGTGCCAACAAAATGTCCTTTGGTGATACACGATTATAAAGCCTGTCCAGGTCTGGCCCCGTGGCTTGGCGGTTAAGTGCGCGCGCTCTGCTGCTGACGCCCGGGTTCGGATCTCGGGCATGCACCAACGCACCGCTTCTCCGGCCATGCTGAGGCCACGTCCCACATACAGCAACTAGAAGGATGTGCAACTATGACGTACAACTATCTACTGGGGCTTTGGGGGAAAAATAAATAAATAAAAGTATTAAAAAATAATAATAATAAAGCCTGTCCAGGTTTGGAGTAGATCAGATCACTAAATTCCTTGCACAGCTGAATAATAACCATATTTTCCAGATCTCACTATCAGACCAGGGGGATTGCTAAGAACTTGAGAACATTCATGATGTTCTCATTTCGAGTGATGGACAATCTGAAAACCGCCAGCTTCAGAGCACACATACCTAGTGCTGCAGTTCCCACATTTTCTGAGTATTCCTTTTCGTCATAAAGAAAAATGTAATGAACCCCCACACACTGGGAATTATAGTACCTTTGATTCAACCTGATCAAAAGCTACTATGAATTCTACACCTTTCAAAATAAATTTGCATCTTATTAATTTCAGCAGAGTTGGTAGAAATTTGAAAAAGTCATATTGATAGGCAGGACAGTTATGTAGTCTATAGCCAGGCTCAGCAGGCAAAGAGCTTACACAACGCTTAGCGTTTCGCCTGAGGTCTGAAGCCAGGGGTGCCAGCCAGTCAGACTTGTTGAGTTTGCAGCCCTCAGCAGGGGAAGTCAGACCACTGCTCTTCATCGCTTTGTGCGCCCACAGGTCTGACCACTTCTCTCCCCATTTCTGCAGCCCTTCCTAAACATGAAGCAGAAACCTTCTATTACTTCTTTTTCTTGAGACTGTCGAGACCCTGCAGGACTTTCTTTCTCCTTGGAGGATTTATCATATGCTGATGACAATGGCACTGAAGTCTCTGAGAAACGTTAGAGACCAAACAAGTGACTGATTGGAAAGTGAAACAATGATGTAATGCTGAAAATGCAGTGCTTCTTCCATGTGACAACAATCAGGCCCCTCCCTCGTCTTTCACTTGGAATCCTGAAAGGTCTCCGAGTGTCCGGGCAGCTCGAGCACTAGTACCCTCTGCCACTCTTCCAGGAAGCTGGTCTCCTTGGGCATCTTCTAAATTTCTCCAGGATGCCAAGGCTCTGGATTACAAACTGAGGGGCTACTGTAGTTTTTAAAAATATTATTTATTTTTAAAATTGTGGTAAAAAAATATATTTTAAAATATACACTTCAATGGCATTAAGTACATTCACATTGTTGTGCAACCATCGCCACCATCTACCCAGAGAACTCTTCTCATCTTGCAAAACTGAAGCTCTGTACCCATTAAACACTAACTCCCCATTCCCCCTCTCCCCGGCCCCTGGCAACCACCATTCTACTTTGTACCTCTATGAATTTGACTACTCTAGGAACCTCACATAAGTGGAATCATATAATATTTGTCCTTTTGTGACTGGCTTATTGATTTAGCATAATGTTTTCAAGGTTCATCCATGGGTAGTATCAAAATTTCATTCCTTTTTAAGGCTGAATAATATTCTGTTGCGTGTATAGACCACATTTTGTTTATCCATCTATCTGTTGATGAACACCCGGGTTGCTTCCACCTTTTTGGCTATTGTACATAATGTTGATATGAACATTGGTGTACAAATATCTGTTCAAGTTCCTGCTTTCAATTCTTTTAGGTATATACCAAGAAATGAAATTGCTGGATCACACAGTAAACCTATTTTTAAGTCTTTGAAGAACCGCCCTACTGTTTTCCACAGTGGCTGCACCATTTTACATTCCCACCAACAGTGCACATGGGTTCCAATTTCTCCACAACCTCTACAACAGCTGCTCTTTTCTATTTCTGTTTGTTTGTTTGATAATGGCCATCCCAATGGCTGCGAACTGGTTGGGGCTGTGTTTTTAATACCAGCGTTAAAACCACCAGTGCCAATGATCTGTTAAACATGTCACTCCATAGACTGAATGCCCTCCACAGGAAATGATGCCCCTCCTCACCCTCCATTATTCCCCCTCCCCAAACTTGAAGAGCATGACCCCTGTGGGTCAGAGACCTGGAGGAGTAGAAATTCCTTGCATGGGACTTGATTTAGTTGGGCTCCCTGTTAAAATGGTCTGCATCATACTAAGTGATTTAGGGCACCTGCGTTTTGTGCGGCCTACATTCTGTCAGTTCACAAACCTTAGGAGGATGTCTAGGTATTTTTT